GGCTAGTTGTCTCACCTCAGCAGGTAGGGTAGCCCTGGCAGGTGGGACAACTTTTCCTCATGCAAACAGCTTGTCTCGCTCACTCGAGACGTAACAACTCGAACAGAAAATGCGTGCGCAAGCTGTGACTGGAATGTTTACAGCTATTCTTTCCCTTTCGTTCGCCATTTTGTCTAATATGTAACCTGGCCGAACAAGGGTTAGCAGATGTCAAATTTCCTATAAACACTCCGTAAAGTTGTCTCGGGGGAAGGGTTGTCTCGAGTACCCGAGACCTTATAAATGGGGCCTAAATATCGGTCAATACACAGGAATATTAGTCATTCATGATAAACTCGTCCAAGTATTTCATTTGTCTGGGCCATTTAAAAAAATTAAAGGGTTCAGCGTCATATCTTTCGTGTATTACAGAGTAATATATGTGTAATTCTTACTTACGTTTATGGCATATTTCGACTCCAAAGTGAAAAATTATTCCGATGTCAAAACTACACATTACCAACCAAGTCAACTGAGATTTAAAAGCAAGGCTTGAAGCAAAGGAAATCATTTAAACGCTCACCTATTTAATCCCTGGTTCTGATAGCTGTTTGGAAGATCACTTACTTCGGTAGCAGTATCATTGACACTTTGCTCCGGTGGGCTATGACTGACAAAAGAAAATAACACTCTCACTACAGGCTCTCCTCATTAAAATATCTACAGCAATAAGTTTCATAGATAAAAACGCGTTTGTCCAGAAGACAATTCTAGACATAAACAATCGTTTTTGCAAAAATAGGAAAAATGTCCTTAATTTCCTCCACACGATACATTGAACATGGAAAAACGCTCTAACCCACCATCTGCACACGAAATAAGTTCTTCATCAACAGTATTTTTTTTTTCAGCATGGTTCAACTTATCAGAGGATAAACTAGTATCATACAACAATAACGGATTCAAATAATCATTGGCACTGGAATGTCTTTCTTTGTCCTGCGCTCGTGACGAGGCGAATTTTCTTTAATGCTATGCCGAGCTCGAAATCTCTCATATTTCTTTTGCTTAAAGAAGCGATATTTTCAAAAGTCTGAACAGATTTCCCATGGGAAGAAATTTCACTCTTGGGAAAAGTCGAGTACTGCTCAGGTTGGCCTTTCGACTAGTGATGCCTTCATTAATAACATCTTCGGTCGCTGAGTCACTGGTGCCGGGATTAGATAGAACTTAGTGCTATAAACTCATTACCTCCAGGGTTTCAGTTTCACTTGAGGATGTGGCGCTTCAGGGCTGAAAAAAAAAAAGAAAGAACATGATACAGAGGTATTAGTATGCTTGAGAGATACACAGACACTTAGGCTATACTTATAGACTAGGCTAGACTAGACGACTTGACTAGGGTTGAAGGTTGCATGGGGAATCATTTTCTTCAATTTCAATTCAGCTGTGACGATCAATCATTTTATTTATTTGTGGCATCGTTTTCCCGTTGGTTTGTGCCAAGTCTTCTAGTACCAAGGCTCCATGGGGAGCCTCACAGTTACACTTTATTTATTACTAAAGTATGAAATCAATTGTATTTACATATAATCCTTGTGGCTGAGGTAAATACCATCCCAGACAGGGTACTCGATCAGTTGGGAAAAGTAATATTTTCCATGACCTCGAAACGAAAATTAAAATAGGTCTGTTGTAAACTAGAGACGATCAAAACCTGAAAATCAGAAAGTCTCTAATGGAACATATCGAAATGAAATGATTATAAGGTCTAAAATAACCTGTAGAGGGCATGAGAGGGCGATTAAGTATCTCACCTGCGTTCTCTCCCACAGCATATCCAAACTAAAGCGATGATCATACATACAATTAACACACCACCAAACGTTATTAAAAGTATCCCAAATGAAGTCAGCTGTGGTGCTGGTGGAGGCTGTCGCACAGGTTTGGTGGTGTGGACGACCAGTTTTTTAGTTGGACTTGCGACAGAAGTCATCATGACCAACGAACTTCTCATGTATTTTGTGTCAGTTTCCAGGTGAATGCTTCTTTTAATTGACGAAGTAAAACTGATTTTAATACTTGGTTGGACCGTAGACGGAATACAATTTGAGTAGAGCGCAGATTTAACTAAAAGACTACCACTTGATCTGGTTTGTGGAGAGATGGAGTTCTCTATGGATGAAGATGAATTAAGCTCTGCAGAGGAAAGAGGGTGCACATTATCAAATGTAATCACAGTAGAAAATATAAATTGCTCTTCTGATCCTCTTTTGTCTCCAAAACAAACAATTGCATGGCTTACGCGTTACCATCGACAACTTCAAAGAATGCGGGTACAAAATACAATAGCTTCATGCAGATGCCCGCCATCGAACTTAGGTTTTGATTTTTCTAAGTCACGTAACTCCTTACAAATAAATTCTACAGGCGTTGCCCTATTTCAAAATTTATGAGAAAGACTTACCTTAGCCATCCAAATTATTTTTACCGCTTTTTGAAATAAAATGTTATTCCTTAGTGCGAAATATCGGAAATTTTCATCTCTCTCTCTCACCTAAATAATTCTTATATTGATCCCTGTACTAGACACGTTAGACGAAACTCTGTATAATTTGCAAGTTGGGAAGACAAAACGAGAGTAAAATTATATAGAGAGTTTTATGTGGCTTTCATTTTTCCGTGAAAAGCCACAGGCATAACAGAGACACAAGTGATAGCTAGGTGATATGCTCCTTAACTTTATGGCAAACAGATCAGTAGACTTTTTCATACAACGAATCACAATGCATTAACGACGAGGGATGTAGGATTTTTACTCTACACCAATGAGAAAGGAAAGATTCTAAATCCTGCCTGGATTTATGATAATTCAGTTGTATGACGTTGTCAATAGTACTTGTCAAGAACGTAATTAAAAATGATGAAAAATTTCCAAAATATTCAGCAGTCCTCTCGCAATTTTTTCTTTAAAAAAATTCAGCCCCACGCCTTCCAATCGTCTTCTATAGGTGAAGTAACCTTGCTGATTTTGTATCGATGAACTCACGCCGTCTCGGAGATTTCATTAAACGTCATTTCATGCTTTCATATTTCGGTTGCTATAAAATCTGGCGAACTTTGATTGTCTGTATGAAAACATGGGCAATGTATCTCATAAAGTCGGATTAGCTTGTGATTGAACATAGTGAAATAAATAGCATACAATCGCCACACTTGCCGAAATACGTCACTTCTATGGACTACTGAAACCCGATTAATAAAACCTTCAACTTATATTGCGCAGGAGAACAACAGCCTTTACATCAACGTGACAATAGAGATCCTGCAACAGCCGCGACACATTCCTTGTATTCGCTTAGGCTTTAATAGTTAAGAAACTACATTAAAAAAAATATTTAAACTCACTGAAGGCGAGTCTCAGTAACCAAGGTGAAAATTAATCTTTACCTGCACAACAAGTGAATATTCTGTCAAGCAAGACGACCAAGATGAAAAACAAGAATGTACGCGCAGTATTCATGCCCGGTTCACGCCGCACTGATTTACCCACCGCCCTTTTAACGGCAATACTTTCCGCCAATTTAGTTTTAACAATGTGAAGTTCTTAGAAGCAATTACTTCATGTCGACTTTGCTAGGAAGTGCGCGTTCAGAAGTGATGATGATGCCCGTGCGCTTTTGAGAAAGGTAAACAGTGACAAAATTAAAAGCTCCCTTCTGCCAATAACATGACAAAGTTGACAGGTCATGCAAATAAGATTAATATTCTTCAAGGCCCACGTATCCAACCGGTATCGACAACAATTAATTGTAATTATCAGCTTCCGGCCGGCTTCATTTTTAATTGATTGTGTTTTCACTGTGGACAGCTGCTCTAAAGAATTTCACCTTCACTGGACAAATGGGACTATGCGGACCAATTTGAAGTGTCTTCTTCTAATTTGAACTCGACATGACAACAAAAATTCCTTAAATGAATTGTTTTTACCTCGATGACAAAAAGTAGCTAAGACAGACCGACCTGACTGTCAGAGGTTTGTGGGAGTTTCGCTCTTTAAGCCCTAAAATCAACTAAAACGTTCCACAGAAAGTTCTCGAAAAACAAAACTGTACTTTTTTGCTGTCTTCAAATTCAAGGTTTGTAACTGACATGGACGATGAAAACCTAATGAAACAAAAATTATAGGAAAATAGGAAGAGAACGAAAAGGGGCATCAGCCTCATACCACCCTATCCCGCATCCCTCCCACATCTCCTACGCTCTCTCCCGTTAGGAAATTCTGTTGAAATATCTACAGGGGAAAGCCCGAGGGCTGCTTTGTTAGCTGCGTCTGTCAGTCGATACAATGTGGTAGTCAACATTCGATAACTTGTACAATTATACCTTCTGGATAACTTGTACAATTATACCTTCTGGATAACTTGTACAATTATACCTTCTGGATAACTTGTACAATTATACCTTCTGGATAACTTGTACAATTATACCTTCTGGATAACTCAAGAATGATTTCAGTGACAGTTTTGCTCTCGGTTACTTAAACCGTAAGGTTTGCTCGAAGGGAAAAGTTTCGAAAAAATTAATCATCACAAGGTTTGCTTTTTCCTCACGCACCTCATTCATCCTGTTATAAACGAATAAAGTTCCAATGCTGATGAATATACAAACAAGGCACCATTTTATTACTTTATTTCGGTGATTTGTTTCATCTCCTGATAAGCAGGTTAGCTCACGTACTCTTGTGAAAACAGACGGGTAGGATACAAGTTTTTTAAGTGTCCGTTGGTGGCCAATATCTGCCTCTTGCTGTTGTAACTCCACTGTATTTCATGTATGAAACTCTTTCCTTTCTAACAAAATTGTGAGTCAACTGAAGGAAAAACACTAATGAAAGAAGCCTAAACAAAAAGGACACTTCGTCATTTTCAATAAGCTTCGCAACCAGGGAGATGATCCAGGACTCGGGGTTGAAACACAGCGATTGCAATCTTGGCAACGTCTGAGTGTTAATTCAGCACAAATGACAAAGGACACACAGCAACGCGGCCAGCGGTGGCCACTTAGGCATATTCCGTACTCCAAGCTTTCAACAGCAATAGCAGTTTGGCATAATGGACATTGCTCTCTTGTGAGTAAGGTAAAAGATTCGTCTGTGACACCAGCTAAGGTTCGATCTTTGTCATTTACTTGTGACTTTACAGCCTTCGCGTTACTTTGAAAGATAACAGACTGGTTCTCTGTGGCTTTTCCAGTTTGAAGCAGCAAACCAGAAGAGCTTTCTTTGCCATTTTCCTGGCTTTTAACAGTGTGTGATAAGACCTTCTTCAAACCTTCTATATCATTACAGGCTTCGTACCCCTGAGTAACCATATCAGTGACAGCAGAGTCAATACCTTTAGTCACCAACCAGTCGCACATTATCAGTGCTGGAACCGAATCTGTGGAGAGAAAACAAAAATGTCAGAATCACGTTATATGGATGCCGTATTTCGTGTCAATGCCAAACCCCTGGAGGCTAATTTGTGCTTTAAGGTAAATATTTATCCCTTGATTTTGTTAATGCAGTGCCAAAATTCCCTGATTTAACCAATCCAATCCCAAACTGCTTCCCGTCGGACAAGTAAAAAGCCAGTAAAGATTAAGCTACAAGCCAATGAGTTTTATGCGTGCCTACTACATTTCGAGGGTAATCTCAACACTAATTTATATCACAACTAACATAATGTAAGAAACTCATAATATAGTTGCACCCGTTGTCTGCTAACCTAGAGGACTAACAGTTCCTGCTTTCCTTCCTTCTAACCAACTGTTTAGTCTAGCAGAAACTAAGCGTTTGTAGATGTAGTCTCTAATCCATTCAAGCTGAGCTGCCCACTTCAGCTGCTGTACTTGATTGCCAGCTAGATCATCCTCCTGTTGCTGTGATATCACCCTCATAACAGTCAGCGCGTATTGCATGATCGCCAACACAGCAAACGAAGAGCCCTCCATAGCACCAGTGCTAACTAGTTGAAGTGGTTCTGGTAGTTTTTTGCTGTAATACATGTTGTGTTGAATAGCTTTACACACATCCCACTTTCTATCCAGTTGAACTTCGTTACTGTTCAGTAGACGTTCCACTGAATTTGATCCCCACACAATGTTTACAAAGCGAATCTACATGTAAATAAAAGTCAGCAATTTTTACACGTGTACATCAGTAGACACAATTTTAAAGGAAAATTGGTTAGACCGTAAACTCACATGAATCTGGTGAGATTCCAGATATTGCTGTGTGTGATTTGACGGAGAAAGAAATAAGGCAATGAAGACACCATTAGCGGACACTCCTATGCCAGAGCACGTGAATCCTTTCTTTACAGCACAACTCACAGCACTCGCTATTGCACTGTCTTAAAGAAATAAAAAAATTTAAAAAAAGAAGCAAAAATAATTAACTACCATTTACTGTCACAAATACTTCGTGATGAAAGACATTTGGGTAAACTGATAGAACGTCAAATTAGGACACTATTTTACCAAACATCTGTCTAACATCTAGGTAAAAAAACTACTTACAGATAAATAATTCATGCCTAATAAAAAAGTTCCAGTAAATTCTCAACAGGAAACTCTCCAAAGGAAGAAGAACACAAACATGGAGTTCAAATTGGTGAAATGCAACTCAAGTTAAGATCAAGTTTAGGACAGCTTAGTTAGGCAGTGTCAAGGTTTTGACAATATATTGATGTGGACAGATGTAAAATACAAGAATATGAAGATGAAAGTAGACTTGGTAATATGAAACTTGTCTAAGGTCATTACCAACTGACGTGGTCTGAACTGATCCATCCAGACTGCAAGTGTGGATAGTGCCATTTTGTGTACAAGCTAGCCCTGTGATTGGCATTTTGTGAATGCCTTGTATTATTTTATAGCTTGGCTTTTGTGTTAGTATATCATTCTTTGCCACAACTGAAAATACAATAACTGATGAACCTTTACATGCCACCAAATAATGAAGATCATCACATGCCTGAAAGCAAAGCAAAGGAAAAAAAACAAAACATCTGATTAGCTTTGGCCCAATGATAAAAGCCCAAGTTAAACCAGATTAAGTATGCAAGGATCTAATAAAATAACATTACTTTGTTTGGAGAGAGTGGCACTGTACTGAGGATACCCCCTGCTTATGTATGTATCCTGGTGGATACTATGTTTGTTCTCTGTTTTTTTTTTTTTTAAATTTAAAACACATTTTTTTAGTCTGTGTTTCCTAGAACTAACCATCCGTAGATAAACTGGAACTCAGTTCAGGGACATGCTTGCATAATTTCATGATAAGTTGCCAGCCAGATATTACTTTGTGTTGGATGGACAACATTCAGCAACAGAAGAAAGGTATTTCAAACTCTTAATTTATTATTATCAACTCTTCTATTCATTTTTGTTAAACCCGAAAGGTGATCTATTGCTTCGTTCTTTTTAATAAATATCTAAAACTGGAGTTTGCTGAAGCACCAGTGACTCTTTTTTTTTTTGAAGCCCCGACCAATAAATGTCTAGGCACTGGAAAAATTTGGTCAACTTGTTAATAAGTACTTTATTTACTACATGGACTACTTGGTTGCATAACCTCTGCAGTATAGATAAACATTTCTCCATACACTTTTCAAATTCTACTAAGAGCAAAAAATATTGAAAAAAGGAAAGATTGACTAGTTGTTTGTTGTGGAAGGCATACTGGATGCTAGGTTGGTAATTTTAAGGTAGCTTGCATGTGTAACATGTTTCTTGAAAGCACACTCAATCATGTGAGGTGTCAATCTTATATGCTGATCTTTATCACTTGCACCTTGGTAAATTGAGAGCTACAGCCCAACAAGTGATATGTGGATTGGAGAATTATGTCTGGACAGGATTGTTTACTCTATGGGGTAGGGAAAAGTTTTGATAGGCTACAGTGTAATTTAATCTCTTCATACTATAGATGTCATTAGCCCGTCTGCATTACTGGAGAAATTAACAATAATTACCATCTACACACCTGCCATGAATGAAGCCAGTCCAAGTACAGGACTTGCATGTCATCCTTGTCTCCCCACAACACATACTCTGCAATTCCACTGATTGATGGCAACAGTTTGAGACTGAAAATCTTAATAAGACCATCTGTACTCCCAACAGCCAACAACCCTACAGATAATAAACAATTATTGGATGAGGTTTTTGTGATATCCAGAATAATAAAGGTAGAGTTAGGGGTTATCAGCAAAAGCCAAAAGCTGAGGCTAATAACTGTTACCAAGACCTTGGTTAGTCTGGATATCACAAAAATATGAACAAAAAAAAAATGGTCACGAAAGTAAGTAGAACTGATAATTTATTTCTAAACAGGTAAAAAATCAGCACGAAGGCTTAGACAAAAACTTACTGGAGCTGATTTCTATTTTGTCTACTGATATGTAGAGCAGACATTTTTTTCTTGCAGCTTTGCTGCTGTTTACAGTGCTGAACTTTTGTTTTCATCTAACAATTAAAGTACCTTAGTGACCTGGTAAATGCTGTTGTCCCACACAGTCTTGTGTGTAATTCACTGTGTTTTTAATACATTCTCAGAAATAAGAGATTAACTTTTTGGGAAATTTCTATTGGTCTGAATTTTACTCATTTTACTAGAAATGATGAAAAATCCAATTTTGACCTTGAAAATGGTGGGTTGACTTATACATGAGTAAATAGCTTTTTAATAGCAATACAAGGCAAGGTTTCTTGTCAAGTACCATTCTCAAGGAGGCAAATGTGACTTAGAAGTCTCTTAATGACAAAGGTTTGACACTAATCAGAAACAGGAATTATAAGCTTAAGCTCATGAACAAAAACAGCTCACTTAGATGCCAATGCACTTGCAAAAGCAATGATCAATTTATACCCTCACAAATTCACGAAGTCCTTGTTACTCAGTAGTTTTGCTGCAGTGCAAGGGCAATTTTTGCAAATTTGAGGCACCTTTTTCAGGTGTTCTTGCAGATTCGTGTAAGCTGCACCCAAGCTTTTTTTGCAAAATTTTGTGATAACATTACCTTGGTTTAGGTTTGTTTCTTTCCATGACAAGGAACTAGGCCATGACTGTCCAGTGTTCAGGATTCCACCCAGTTGAACTATTGCCTTGTCAACTTTAACAGGTACCATCACTTTCCAAAACATCACAGCACCACTTCGATTACCAACACCCAAAACTGCAAACTTTTTATCATTGATTATCCCTTCTGGGTTATTTAAGGAAACATCTTCTCTGCTCTGATAAAGTTGAGAAAACCAATGCAAACAAGTGAAGGCAAGGATTTCAGTACGTTGCTTGAAGACAGAATACTGATTCTTGTGTGACCCACAGTTTTTTGTACCCGACCTGGAAACATTCTGCCAATCTGTTTTCTGCATCACATCTTGACCCAATTCATTACTGTTCTTTGCAAGATAACCTGAAAATTCTTGAGATATATCAATAGCTTCCTTCCATTTCGTACCAAGCACTGGAGACAAGTAAATACACAGCTGATATTCTGAGAAGAGTGCTGCTATGATGCATCTGAAATAAAAATAAATAAAATTATATTAGTAAATCAACAAGAGCAATAGCTTTCACCTTCTTCTCAAGATCTCTAAAAAAAATTTATGCAGTAGTTCCTACAAACCTTGTGCCTAAAAACCTAATTTCTTGCAGGTCATTGTTGCAAGGTTTACTTTTTAATTATAGACATAACAAAATGACACAGCTAAACTAAATCTCTTTTGTTTTCAAACATCTTTTTCCAAAAAAGTTACCATTTACCTTTGTTCATAACATTCAGAATCTTATTAACCTTGACCTTTATTATTCACGCATGAACACATGGTTCCATGTATGTCAGTGGTAACCAAAGAGCAATGACAGACAAACATAAAATAAAATAAAACAAGCAAAAAAAAAAAAAAACCAGAGACAGGCACCAGCAAGATGATGAAAGTGAAGGTCAAACAAACTTAGGAGAAGTTTGTTGTGACAAAAGCATTGCCATATGATAGATGATAAGTTTGTGGTGAAAGTGCTGAATATCAAAGGTGAACAACAATCAAGAGTGTCGACAAAACTTGACATGTGGTCACCCAAAGTTACAAAATATTTGCAAATCTTTGGAAGTGGACAAAAGCTACTTCCTCTTTGGGCAAGTGTGTCTTCTTTATATGAATCATTAAGCGCAGGAAAACTTAATGGCTTGCCTTGAAATTAGGCCCAAAGAATACCACAACTTCTGTGTTTTGCATCCCCCACAATGCCTTCTACCAAAATGTATCATAATAAAAGACTGATTCGGATTGTTGTGCCTCATTTGGTTTACGATAAGATTAAGCTAAAAGGGAACAATTTTGGTTGGGTAGTGTATGCAACAACCTTTTCATAGATATACCATTTATGGTGGTTACCCTTCAAATATTAACAATTTTTTTTGCAAAGGACACCCACAAAGGTCTATTGTGTCTATAAAACAAAACAAATTTAGTTATGCTACAACATTGACCTGAAAGTTAAATGCAAAGTGAAATATTTACTACCTGCCATTTTCCTCACAGTTAAGTGGTGACCATGCAACCTTGAGAAAGCCATTAGAGCTACAAGCAAGGATTGACTGATTAACTTTGGGATCCAAACGCCACTCTATTGATTCCACATTGCTGAGTTGTTTCTTATCAATACCCACATTAAATTCCCTGTTTTTCTGACAACCAGGAATATTTGTCTTTTTGGGATCTACACCAAATCTTGTTGGAGATAAAGTAAGTGTCTGTTTGGAATTGTCAAGTGACAGTTATTTGTAGAAAAGACCCTCTGTACCTTAACACACAACTCTACAACAACACTGCTTAATGTATACTCGATATATGACATTTAAAATAGCTGATTATTCTGCAGCAACTAAAGGAAAAAGCACATCAACAAAACAAAAATATCAAAAAAGACTTGGTAACTTGATTTCACACAAATTAAGCATTAATCAAAAGTACATTAACCGGTGAACTTCTGTACAGTGCACCATCTTAGAGGGTATGACACTTGAGATATCTCAATAACAACATCATTTCCTGCGATCTGTTACCGAACAGGTGCACAGCAACATGGAATCCATTTGTTGAATATAATATGAACTTTCTTAGCCGTTGGTTAACAGAAAATACTTTGCCATCGTTTACTCTACACGACCAGAGATATTTCTCTTTGACCACACCGAGTTTTAATATTTAGGTTCTGTGTCGACGTAATTACACGCCGTTCCTGCATTTAGCTCGAACGTTAATCGTTCACATTCTTCGCTTTTTACTCTTGCAGATGCGCTATTCAGTATCAATAAAAATAATGATAATAAATAATATGAAAAGGATACCAATATATAAACACATTTATCGGTGATTATAGACACCCTATCATCAAGCGACCACGATATAGCGTCCGGATACGAAGGTAAACAGCTAAATTTTATCGTTTCTATGACTTTTGCCTCCATTGAACGGTACGCCATTTTTACGCATACGTCTTACGGAAAGCGCACATAATTTTAAAGAAAGCCCGCTGTGCAAAGGTACATTGGGCTTTTCACTGGCTTCTTGGCGCGGCACGCCAAATCACTAGACCAACTCCAGCCTCTTCCAGGCGTTCAGCAAGTAATATGATGCGAAATTCCTGCAAGAAAACAGTGCAATCTATAGAGCGAAAAACGACAGAGGTTTAGGTTGGACGCCTAAAGAACGTTCACGCCTCCCTTTACTTGCTGAGCGGTTGAAACAGGCTAATCGACTCTTAAATGGATCAACACGTACTGACCGTCTTGAGAAAAGCATGTAAAGTACTCAGCGTTGTGCGGCGAAACTTGTTTATTAGTTCCAGATCGATAAGAGAAACGGCGTACAACTTAGTTCTGATCAACCCTCGAATATGGAAGTGCCGCACGGGATGCCTTCTAAGTAGGATTTTCAAAAGGAATAGGAAGCTCAGAAAAAGGTAGTGCGATTCTGTACGAGCAACTACAACCCATATACAAGCGTGACGGAAATGCTGCAGGAACTTAACTAGGAAACCGCCGACTATTTTTTATCTATAATCTCTCCCACTATCTAACAGATTTTCCAGTAGCAGCCATCTAAACCATCTAAGGTTTAAGGTTTACCTAAGGAAAAAGAAAGATGTGCTCCAGTTTTCTTCCTTCCCACGTAAAATCGATGGAACTCCCTTCCCGAAGTTGTTGTACGTAGATAGCTTTAAAACGAATTTAGTCAATATTTTTTAGTATTCTATTGTACTGATTTTTAGTCGAAATTTATATACTACATGATTTAAGCTCTTAGATTTTTAAAATTTTGGGTCTCTTTTTTATTATTTGTATTTATTTATTTATTTGAACAGTTGGTATCATATCTTGCGATTTTATCAAGTCAATAAATTGTAAGATGTAGATGTAGAAAGCCCGTATACTTTTTAGTCACGTATCTTAACATGAACAGATGTAATCCCTTTTCTTTGAAGGGCGTCCATGATGAAAACTTTAAAAATTAATGTTGGAAACTCATTCCACGAACGTTTTCTTGTCAAGTGTTGCATGGCGGTTCTTGGCTCTGATTTCTATGCTCCTGTATGCTGCATCGCGATCACTCTGCAGATGACGGTGGGAGAAATGCAGTCACAGCCACTGCACTGGTGCAAAGCGGAGAAACAATTGTAACCGGAGGTTCTCCTTCAGGTACCCGCTAAATCTTTACTTTGCTGCCTCTGAAGTGGAATTTGAGTTTCTTCTAATACTGTTTGCTTGAAACCTATATTGACATGCCGAGATCAGACAAAACATGTCAACTTGTCAGAAACTGGGCTACAGCCCTTTGATATCATTTGACAAAGGGTGTGTTCTGGATAACAACGTATTGGTATGTTTTGGGCCTCCGTGCATGATGTGTTATTTTCTTCTATAAAATGTGAACCTTATCCTGGATTGGCAAGAAGTAACATTTTTTGTTTAAAACAGTACGACAAATTCTCCTCTTGAGTAGACACATTGGTATTACTGAATCAAAAACATCATTTTGGACAAAACTTACACTGAAGAATATCAATATAACGGGCATGTTTTTTTCCATTTTTCTTGTCTCTGTTTTAGAATTGACTTCTGAAAGTTATCGGTCGAATCCTTCACGCTTTATCGGCATCTATTAGGATAACATGGTTTAGTTAAAATATAAGATAAACCCAACCATTGTGGCAGTAATTGTAGACATCTGGTCTAGGATAACCTATTTCGGGTTGAAGACCTTCGGTCGCAGGCTTCAACGACATCGGACCATTAAGAAAGTCTTATCACAACATACTGGAGGTGCAAGTCTTACCTAGTCCCTGAAAAGCTACAAAACGGCCGTACTTGCATAACATTTGCCTCAGCTGCATTTTAGCCGTGAGATTTTAAACCTTTAAGATCGTTTTTCCGTTCCATCCCGATTGAGATATACCTTTTGGAGCTCAAAATGACAAGTATATAGGCTAAATAATAGAAAAATCCAGGGCGCAGTCTTCTCCCTCCAACATTCGGCTAACTTACACACCGATAAATGTTGTGCCAAATGCCGCATTGTCAAATGCCGACATATGTAACAGGTCTAATGTGTTGAGCCATGTCGGTATTTAACCGTGCTCATGAGATCTCTTGGTCTCCTTTCGTATGTTTTTAATCAGTTGTGTTTATTTGTTCAATTTGATGATGAATATTCACAAAAAACAATATTGATTTTACCCTCTAAACGTCTGAAGAATCCGTTCTGTATTTAAAAGAAAGGCGTCATCAAGAAACAAATGCCAACATTATTTCCCTTCAAGAAACCTACAGCACTAGAGAAGTAGAAATGATTTGGAAATTACAATGGAAAGGTAAGATGTTCTTTTCACATAGTACTAACCGCAGTTGCGGAACGTTGGTGGTTGTACCAGATGATCTAGAGTTTCAGCTTAAATCTTAAAGTATTGACTGCGAAGGCCGTCGCGTCCATCTCGATGCAAATGTACAAGGTTCACATTTCTTGCTTGTTAACACTTACGCACAGAACGATGTTAAAGAGCGAAGTATGCTTTTCAGTTAACTAAACTAACTAATATAAAATAATTATATTAACGACGAGCAAATGATTTTAGTAGGGGACGATTATGAATTCACTTTGATCAAGATCTTGATTGCTCTGAATAAAAATAGCTTTCAGTTTCTTGTATTGAGGAAATACGCCGAGATCTTGACCTAGTAGATATTTGAGGAATAAGAAATCCTGGGTATAAACGATTCAAATGGCGGCAAAAAATCCGTTTATACAAAGAAGACTTTTTTATATAAACAGTGTTACAGCAAGTAGATTGCGATCGCCGGCGGTGACTTGCAGCGTTGATTCTTTTGTTGAGTCTTCCTGATAAAAAAGTTAGAACTCGTGTTGTAAAAAGTCGTGCCGGAAAAATTCTTGCCAGAATTAGTCGTACTGGGAAAAAAACTGAAATAAAATAAAGTTGTGGTGGAGGAAAACGTGGATGACAAATACGAGATGGCATTTACTGTGCTCCGTAGTTTGCCTTGTTCTCCGATAATAATTTAGTATCTGGCATTGTTTTAGTTAACCTTTGTTGCATAATTGTTACTTTAGTATTTGGCGTTCTTTTAGTTTTTATTGTTGCCCGATAATTACATTAGTTTCTGGTGTTCTTTTTAGCTTCCCTTGTTGAAATGAATAGTTACTTTCAATGTTAAACCCAATGTTGAACATCTTTTGATGATTGTTGTTGTAGTTGTTGTCTGATAGTACGTTAGTATACTGCAGTCTTTTAATGTTTGTTTTTTTTCCGGATTATTACGTTAGTATCTCTCACTCCTTTAATGTTCGTTTGTTGCCTCATTATTTCTTCAGTACCCTGCACTCTTTTAATGTTCGTTGTCTTCGGATTATTATGTTATGTTAATGGTTGTTGCTGCTTGATTATTTTGTTACTATCTCGCATTCTAAATGTTAAGATGTTAAGACATAAAATAGCATTACAACGTTACTATTTTCTTCCAGTATCGATCACTAGGAGAAGAAGAAATATTACTAAATGCGTGATCGCGTAGTTTATAGCGATTCCCAAAATCCAAGATTCATGAAAACAAGCCATCAAACTATACTTCTCTGTTTTTGTTTACTCACATGTGGCTCACAGATAAAGATATACAAAAACTAATAAAAATGTTTTCAGTATGTTTGAGCTATTTACTAGGTTATCAATGCGCTGATAAGCCTAACAGTAACGTTTGAATTTTAGAAGGTAATGTCGTCTCTTAAATAGTAAATCATCAGAGAGATTCTCCTTGCAGGGTTGAGTCCGTTGAGAGAAGTTCAATGTTTTTTACTTACGTAATACGAAAAATTTGAAAAAGTATTTCGGTATACTAGATTACGCACCTAGAGTGTTTTCCAAGGGCTTTCCAATATATGAAATACTTTTAAATATTTAAACACTTTTACACCCGGTGCATTGAGCAAGTTTTTACAAAATTGCGGCAAATGACCAAGTCTCTACAAGGCCCACACCGAATTGATAAAGGCAAAAAAATCAGCTAAAAAAATGAAAGAAACTGCGTACCATTTTTCGAAAGCCTCTTGTGATTTAACCCCTTTGGCCTCAAGGCCTTCTTTACAAAGCATGTGGAACTAATAAGAAGAAACCTCTCGAGAATATCCTCGAACTCGTCTCTTTTCCCGTCGAAATAACCCAAGAAGTACTGGTTTTCAACAGAACAATTTTCAAGGTTCTCCTCAAGGAAGTCAATCTCCGATCTATCTAAAGAAGAATGATTAGTTACCGGCATCATTACGCATTCTAGTGTCTTAATCAAAAATTGTCTTCAGTTTTTAGATGTCATCCTTTCGCGGGCTTTCGCAATATTCGCGGGTTTGATAATTTTCCCGCTGACCAAAATTACCGTGTACTCTTACCCTCGACGAACGCCTTAGATATAGCGTAACCCGGAAGACATATCTGCAACGCTGCGGCGCTCTCATCGCCCAAACTCTCGTCAATCTCAAGCCCAGGGTCTTTTCGGCTCCTCGTAGCATCGATACTTTCCTCTAATATCGATATTTTCCGAGCAGACCTCGGTATCGACGGTATCCGTATCGGCCCCACCTTGCCGGTTAGACGAGTTAGTTAAGAATGGACAGATTGGCATGCACTAGCCACTAAAATACGGTTTAGTAGTCCTGTATACCTTTTCCTTGTTTTCTTTAGGTATGCCGCTAGTAATAAATGGCGAGATTGAAAGCTCAAAACTAAGATCCTTTGAAGAATTTTCAAGAAAACATGAACATTTTAGGGTACGGTATACTCATCTACTCAGCAATCTGTTTTGAGTATTTGTTGCATGCATTTATGAAATTTTGTTTGTAATCTGATTGGCTCTCATTGGTACAATTTATTCACGAATCGCATCATTTTTTGCTCTAAATCGCATCTTTTTCCCAGCTAACG